AAAGGACAGAAAAATATATACATACGTGGCGTATAAATATGCCCCAAAACGTTATTTTTGTTTATTTACTTCGTTTTATTAGAAAATGGATTCAATATGCAGTAGTTATTTTTTATTTACATGTTTTCCTGATTCAATACAGATATTTTGTGAATAGCCTGACTCTATTCACATCGCCCACCTGTGTGTAAGTTTGTACACAAATATACTCCAATTCACTAAATTTGAATAAATTTTTGTTGTCTCCAATTTGTTAACGCTAGAACAGAATTAACAACATACTTATTTGAATAAAATCGGAAAGAGCTAAAAATTAGAAACGGAGGATATTTATTTGATTCGATATTTTTCACATTCATCACATATTTCACAAGTTACCTTTCAATAAAACTTTATTGAATATTCAATTACTCATTAACTTTTAATAATACTTTATTCAATATTCAATTACTCATTAACTTTTAATAATACTGTATTCAATATTCAAATACTCATTAACTTTTAATAATACTGTATTCAATATTCAAATACTCATTAACTTTCAATAATACTTTATTCAACATTCAGTTATTCATTAACTTTATTAATGAAGGCTAGAAATAACATCCAAATTTAAAGTCCAATTTATTATTTTAATATCTGAAAAACAGTGTTTGTTCTTTGTAAAACCGCTCAAGTTAAATTTCCTACACTTCCTGACTGAAGTGTAAGATGCAAAATATTCGTATTATCTGGCTCTGGGTGATGTAAACTGCCAGTAGGGAGCAGAAATAGCCGGGAAATAAACATTGTGCATTTTAAGCACAAAAATATCAAAACCGTCTTCAGGTAAATTATTTCTTCTCCTATAAATTAGCCTTGTCGCTAAAAAATAAAAAATAAAATTGTGTCGTGTGATCTGTGGCTTGAAAACGCAGTTGATCCCACCTCTGCCTTGACCGTGAGACCTGAAACTTCTTACATCGAGAGTATGGAGGTCAGCGGTTACACTCTGAGCCAAAGACGTAAATATGTTGTTCCTCCTTCAAAATAACTACGATGATTAGTTCCGCTTTCGTGCCTGGACGACCTACAAAAAGATTTTAAAATTGTCGGCAAAGGTTGTTGAAGACAGGCGAAGACCGGTTTATTCCGTAAACATGTGGGTCTGGAATAATGTGTTTTTTTTTGTTTTTTTGTATTTCCGGCTTTCCAGACCTGACGCATGAAAACCGTTAGACTTAGTATACTTTTGTAGGTGTGGAATCACCAAAATAAAAAAAGAAAGCAATTTCTATCCTGTTTTTAACAATATATATAGACCACTTTTATTATTGTAATAAATACTGCGAAAAACTGTTCACTTTCCTATTAACTTGTATGAACAACCTAGAAAGCATATATAAGTACTTTACGTATACAATATACAGTGAAGCAAATATCTGTGGACCCATACATATATATATATATGTCTGTGTGTTTACATACCGTTAACAAGTCCAGTCTGCAAAAACAGAATATATAAAACATATTAAAATATATAGAAATTGCACAGGCTAATTCGAACAACGTATACGAAAACATGACTATTGGCTGTTTACCACAAAATAGAAAAACACACTGTGTTTATAACAGTGTAAAAAAGCTTATTAATTTCTTACAAAAAATAAAACTTACTTATGCTTATAACAATGTGAAAATATATTGTACTAATTGCAATAATGTAGAAACATTTAATTTCCTTGTCATTAGTCATCGGCATTAGGCCTATTTTACTTTTATCACTGTGTTTTATATATCTAGTCCATTAGGGATTTTCTAGAATTAGAAGAGTGTATAATAATTATATTTCAACCACACTATGTTCGCCATCTCCGTTGTCGACGACGCGTCTCGCTCATCAAGCCGACTGGGACACGACAAATACTAATGTCGATGATCGAGGGCACTCGACTCGCAATCTGAGGGTCGCAGGTTCGAATCCCCGTCCCACCACACATGCTCGCCTTTTCAGCAGTGGGAGCGTTATAATGTGACGGTCAATCCCACTATTCGTTGGTAAAAGAGTAG